GTGAGGAGAGAGACCGTACGAGATCGGTGCCGGCGTCCATCTTGCCTTAGGAGGAGGGCAGAGGAAAACGAACGGACCGCGAGCGATACAAAAGAAGTGTTTCTGATTATTAATGAAGTGTCTTTGTCTGGAACGAAACGTATTAACCGGTCCGCTCGGCTGCGGCAGGCGGCGCGTATTTATTATCGAGCAAATGAAAGGGTTTACTCGGATACATTTCCGAGTGCCCCTCCCGCTGCCCATCCCTTTATACTTTTCTCTTTTCCGAATGATTTAATGTGCAGTTAGCTTCAGCATAGTTACGTGTAACCCTAAGGAAAATAGTTTCAACTGTAATACAGGTTAATTTGTAATCCTACTCCAGTGCTAGCATTTCTTCGTATTATAAAAATATTTCAACAAATTTAGAATTGTAGTAGAATCTTTCCAATGATAATTTGCTTCGTACAGCATCGCAATGTACATACTAATTTCCGTCGCGAGAAAACGAATGTTAATGTTTAAATAAACATCTATTATCAAAGCATTTTTGTTAAAGCTACTAATATTCTCATTCGAAAACGTCATATACAGAAGGCACTAAAATAGTTAAATTCTCGGCCAACATATTATTTATCAGAGAATAAAAATGCACATAAAACTCACGAATTAAAACTAACGGAATGAAAATACTACTTAAAAAAAATACAGTACAAGCGAAGACAACAATTTTCCTTACGCAAGTCGTTTCGCGGTTCTCAGAAATGTAAATTGTATCGTCCGTGCGGGGAATACAAGTACGAGGAGCGGTGCTCGGTTTCGCAAGAAAGCGAACCGCCGATATTAAAGGAGAGGATTAAGTAAGAAAAATGAGGAGCCTATAGCCGGGTAGTTTTTCCGTTCCGCGGCCCGCAGTCCCGGATCGATTTCCTTTTGCGTTAACGGTGATTCCTCTACCCCCCTTACCCCGTTGCCCGTGACCATTACCATTTTTCCCGGTTCACGGGTGATCGAGCACGACCGGTGCCGTCGCGTTTTCTCCTTATTTTCCATGTCAACGGTGCCCCGGCGTGGATTGACAGCGCGTTCTGCGCCGTGTAATATCATAAATCGAATGCCCGGCTGATAATGCGCCGCGATAAACCCGCGGCGCTGTGCGCATGTGTCTGTCAGGGAAATCACCGAGGTGTGTGGGCACCATGCTGCGCACGATTCCCCATACGACTATTAATTAAACAGCAACTACCAACCGTACAGCAAGTTAATTGCGAACCCATTAACCGCGTGCCTGCGCGGAACGAACGCTGAATTTCTACCGTTTCGTGGTAGAACGCGCCGATTTCCGGCCCCGCCGATTTATCTCGACACTGCGAAACGGGCAGTCGGACAGATGTTTGAATACGGTGATTGTACGCACCGCTTGCCGTATGAGATAGTGTTTTATTGTTGGTGACGTGTAATATTGGAAGTGATTGGAAGAATATGAGAGCGCGGAATGAGACTGTTTCATCTGATATTTTTGAGAATGTTCGCAAGTTTACAGGGCACTATCGATTTTAGAATGTGATAATCTGTGGAGTCCTTCGGAATATGCTGTATCTAGGTATTTAGGTTTAATTACATGTTTGATCAGTTTCCACTATACTTATTTGTGACATAATCGTACCACGTACATAGAAGTATTCGGTATATCTCAAATATTTTTCGATTTCGAATTTTAACCTTGAAACCTCCTAAAATAAAAGATAGAGAAATATCGAATAGTCTAAATTACCAACAAATTATGGTAACATTTGAAACAATCAAACAATACAAAAGAATTTTAAAAAAAAACGGAAAAAGCTATCTTAGAAGTGCTCAACTGTTTCTGTATCAGTCAACATTAATGCACCGGAACCAAAACCCAAAAACATTCGGATCACAGGGTTTTAATAACTCCAAAAACTCTCAATGGTTAGTAGCACCAATTTCATGGGTACTCAAACGATCAGCCATAATATTCGTATAATAAAGAATCAAATGGTAGCGTTCACAAGCTTCCCTCGTGATAACAGGTATTGAGACACCGGAGTATTCAGATTAAAGGGTATCTTAAAGCCATTCAATATACATATTCAATTCTAACGCGTCCAGTCAGACGCGAGTGTGTTCCGATACGACTCAAAGGGCCGGCGACGGAGTACTCCCGGGACAACTGTCGATTGATCGGTATCGCCGTGTAACCGCTCAGCCCGATACATAAATCCCGGATGGACCATCAATTATCCCGGCTGGAATTATTAATAATCATCGCTGTACTGGCAGAGGGGACTTGCCTTGATACTTCGTATCGAGACTTCCAATCGCGTCTGGGTAACTCGACCACGGATGCAGGGTGGGGGGAGAAGGGCAGCGAGGGCCTACGAATGACAAGTTTGCCTGCAGATACGAAATGGAAATAAGAAGAAGAAGACGCCCGGGATACTTATTAAGGTGCAGTGCACCCTACAGGTGTTCGTGTGGAATGCTTTGAGAACGAGATCGCGAACCAGAGATCCGAAGTGTTTGGAAAGAGCTGCTGGTTGCTGGCCGCTGCTGCATCCTCCGCGGGTATCGTGTCTTGACCCGCCGTTGAAAAACGCCATAAAACTTTGCCGCTCGGAATTCCACGAAATTTTATTGACGTGTTATCCGGAAAGTTCCGCGTCTGATTACCGACCGTTAAATGGGGTAAGCGGCGTGTTTGGCGAGTGGATCGCGAATTTTGTGCGTTTATATTGATGCCACGGGTCAATAATTTGAGATATGTTTTTGTTCTAAGGTTTAGAGGTATCTTTTGTACTGTGTAATTTCGTTTGAAACGAATTGGAAGGGAATCTAGAATTTTAGCAAAGTTCGCGTAATATTGCGTATTTCTTTTGGAAAGAAGAATAAAGGATAAAGGAAACGATGTTTATTTGGGTTTAGTATGTTTGAATTCATTTGGAAAACTATAAATTTATATGAATATGAGGCACTTTAAAATTGAGAGGAATAATTATTCAATAGATAATAACGCTAATTTTATAATGATCATGGTTATGAAATATTGAATAAAATTTACACTAGGCATAGCTTACCGGAGGAACTGAAATGGTATTTACCATTATAATGGGATCAGCCTGTATCGTGCACGATCCCAATGAATTGCATATTTCTGCAATTGCGATCTGCGATACATCATTCCACAGTCAGATGCATTCGATCAGGATTCCAGCGACACAACGATCACGAATTCTTTGTTCATGATGGATCAATCACGATCGGCGACAACCGCAATAACGGGAGAGCAGCAACATCGCGAAGCCACGGGGAATGAATGAACCGTGTCCAGGATCGAGTTAATCGATCGCGATCGATAGGTTCTCGTCTGCCGATAGTCGTACCACGTGTGGGATTTCAATTTGCCTGAACCATGGGGGCTTACTCGCAAGATTGTGAACATCAATCTAACTATTATCGACTGTTCTCGATCTCTCGATGCTTTTCGAGTACATTTCGTGAGAATGAAATTATCATATTCGAAATAAAAAGTATAAAAATTCTTGTAAGTTCTAGTAACTTATTTGGATTCAACTTTAAAAACGCAGTTTTCGTTTGAATTCGATTATTATAAATGTTTACATAAATGAGCGCATTTGAAAAGGAATTTAGAATAATTATGAGTAGATGTAATGTAAATTTGAAATTGAATTTGTCATTTCATTTGCTTTATTAATGTCAATAGTTAGCATTTGTAGTTAATAGAACTTGAAGATATTTTTATAATATACTTTTCTTTGAACATTCCGAATTTTCTGATGAACATAATAGTGTACGATAGTTGTTATTTGTTACATCAAAGACGTGCTTTAATGTAAGAATGAACCAGTGGCATCATGAGATAAAACTGATGAGATGTTTTCTCTAAGATATACATCTGTGGTTCGCTCATGCGCAAAATCATCATCGAACAAGATGAGACAAATCATCGTCTGGTCGACCGAATCATTAATAACTATACCTGCAGAGGCGTCGTGAGGCGTTGGCATGTTGTTTTCGCTTTGGAGCGAGACTAATTTTAAGACGTAAGTTAAACAATCTCTTAATTTATTCACAGTAATAATTGATTGTGTTTTACAGGATCATTTTCTTCAAGAATGACAGTCAATAGAATCTACTAATTAATTAACTTCTGCAAGCCTTTCCCTAATGATTTTAGAATTGAGAATGGGTTCTTGTGTAGAATCTCGAGAATCTCAACGATCATCACTAAAGAGTTAAAACGAAGTAAAATATTCACAATCTTTTTAGAACATTCTAATTCTTGTTTACGAAAATATGTTTAGTGGTGAAAGATCTCAATCAATGGACTCAAATTTAAATCAATCACTATCGGTGCTAAATATGTCCAACGTTCAAAGAATTTAAAAACCAGAAGTCGAATGACACTGTTAAAATTTTCAATTATTCGTGAAAAAGTAATTTTATGACTAATATTTCTTTCACTAAGAAAACTGTTACAGAGTACAATGTATTAACTAAAACTTCTCTCCCACATATATCTGCATACAAAACCCACAATTGTTACTTACTGTTACTATAAAATAAAAAAACCACGTGTCAGTTTCTCATTACCTAAATACTTAAATTTGCAGCTTCAATTTTATATATTAACGCTTTGTACTCGTAAACTTGTATTTATTTTTAGGGAAATGAATTATAGTAATTTACAGTAGTAGAAATCAACGTTTTATATTTATTTTATTTTATATTATTACAATAAGATTTAATCTTTATGATCTTTTAAAGTGTAGTACTTTCTAAAACAATTTCCAACGTTCTATATCAAATTTATATTGTTATCTCTAGCATGACATACGAGTGCAAAGGGATAAAACTCAAAGTCAGAATTACGTCCGGATATAACCACAATAGATCAAAAGTTTAACAAACTGACAATATTTATATAATAACAGTTTCATTTGAATTCTTAAAAAAAAAATGATGAAAATCGTACTCACCCTGCTCGCACTCATCGATGTCCTCCGAGCAGTCCACCCCCTTGTAACCGGTCGCGCATGAACAAGTAAATGATCCGTTGATGGGGCTGGTGTCACAGATCGCGCCCTCGTGGCATGGGTTCGAAGTGCATGCATCGTCGAGGTGGCACAACAGTCCTGGAAAACGGAAAACCGAAGATATTTATCCTTCGATTGTTCTCGAAACGGAAAAATCCGACTGGAACGATCCACCGCGCCGTTTCGAGGGAGCCGCGGATTGCGAACGTTTCTAGGACGGAAAGTGTCGATCGGCGAACGCCAAACACGGCGGCGGCCGCCAAAGATGGACATCATTAAGGCCTGTATCGCTCGGCAACGCGTAGAGCCCGGTCAGAGCGCGTTTCGCGCTCGAGAGAATCGTAGAAGACACGCGACGCATAGAGAATGGTGACAAATCCCAGCGACTCGCGTTCGTCCATTCGCATTCAGTAAATTACACGGGATACCGGTGGGTTTGCTTCAGGCCGGTCTAATTGCTCCCCGCAGCGAACCCCGCGAGGAAATTCGAGGAATTCCGCAAAGAATTTTCCAGGGTAGACGCTACGAAGCGGATTTCTGGGTCTCGCCGTGGTTATTTCTTCGAGGAGTAATTTTTGTAAAACAATAATTGTAGCGTGTGTTACGTCAAACTGGATAATAACTGAGTTTTGCTTTGGTTACGAGAGATTATTTCTTTCTTATATAGAGTTAAAGTATGTTGCAAGTGTTTAAGTTATTTAACTCGAATACAGTTGATTCTTGATATTTGTAGTCCACCGCTAAACAAGATGAATTCTGAATTTCCAATTGTTAACTTTAAAAGCTTTAATTTTCAATACGAAAAGAAACATAAAAAAATGATTGTCTTCGACAATTTTAGTTTCTGAAGTTATCCAAAACTTGCGAGTAAAAGAGAAAAATCGAAAAAATTTCAAAATATAAAAATGAACTTCTCTATTTCTCTAAGTTTCTGATCGACAACATTCAACAGAAAAGAAGGCTTTCGTTTGATACATTAGAAAGTTTAACTCGTGAAGCGTTAAGAAGTTGAAAACAAGAAAGTAACATTATATTACTTGTATATATTTAGAACACGATATCTTGTATTTCTTCTCGGTAATTAAAGCAGGAGCAGCAGCATCATGAAAAATGTATCCGCCGTTGGCCATTGACATTTGAACCTCGATACACGGTTCTCAATAACGGAACGACGTGTTGGATGTCGGTATATAAACTAGAGTAAACAAGCACGCAGATGCGCGATTACACCCGCGACTAACTGTAACCGCGTTCGTACGTACAAGAAGCGGCTTCAGCTCTGGCCGCGAGATACCATCATTATGCCTACGTGCGTATTGCAAATCCGTTAACCCTATGGGCATTGTTAAAACTGTTTTATGGTTCGACGTGTTACGATCGGCATTACACAAGCTCTCTTCACGAAATCATCATAGAGATAACATTTCACGCGAAAAGAAAAATTAACTGGTGCTGCGTACTTTAAACAAAATTAGATAATTAATGTCAATTCGATATAGACTGTTGTGCAATAAGACATGGCGAGCTTGTTTTGTCTTTCATTCCATTCTTCATTCAAACGTGCAGTAACGGTTACTAGTGCAATGATGTTTTATGTATTTACAGTTACATTCTAATCGCTACTAGCATTTAATAGGTACTTTAATACAGTTACCGATACGCCTTTATTGCATACTCAATCAGGAATACATACACCCGTCCGTGACTACAAAGGAAGGTAAAATGTATGTTGAAATATTGCAAAACGAAAATTGATTGAACATTGAATTAATAATTCGTACTCAATCAGTGTAAAACAACGTTATTATAATATATACATCGTACTATTAAATATAAATGCAAATTGCCAAATAATGGATGCGCTTTTCTAAAATATAAAAAGTAACCAATTCATTTCCCTCCTTTCCTATCATCGAAGGAAACCACTATATTGTCAAAAAATACTGGGCCTTTAAAGATTGACTTCCGATAGTTAAAATGTTACATTCGAAACTGGTAACTTAGTCCTACGTCACCCAAAATTCTTCAACTGAATTCACGTAACGCAGTCCTACGATATTTCTATTTCCTCTAAGAGAATGCCGATCACGTAATTCAATATTATTTCAATTCTACTTAAGCATCAATAACATAATTCCATTACAGATTTTTCGAATACACTCGAAACCCACTTGAATAGTACAACCTCGCAGTATCCAACTATAAATTACCAAATTATATACGCTTACGAATGCGTTAACACCGAACGCTCCGATAATAAAATTCTCAAGAACAAGACCGGCCGGGCAGAGCATACCACGCGTTGAAGTCTCCCGAAGAATCCGCACAGCGAGTCTCGGGCGCAAAGCGCGGCGCGAATTCCTTCATTTAAGATTTCCCGAGCTTGCGCCCTGGAAAAAGTCGTTCTTCTCCGGTCAGCCTGAGGAGGCGGAGGGGTATCGCAGGAATCGCAGTAATGCCGAGACAGAAGAAGAAGGATGCCTGTATTTGGCGATCGCTGTCCGAGCGATCGATCTGAAAACCGTCTGCTTCGACCTCGGGTAGGAAAGTAAGGACAGAAACTCGTTTTCAGTCCTCAAGGTCGCCGCACGGTGTATAAGGCTAGCCTGGTGCGCGCCTCCGGAATCCCGGGATTCCGGGGGAGGGCCGCGCGCGCGCGCACGTCCGCGGGGAAGCTGCGTCATATTGTTGCACGTGCAGATGCACTCCGCTTGTCAATTCCACCGGCGATGCATAATGCCGACACGAATCGAGCTGCGAGAGTCTTGTTACCGAACGCATCCTCCGTTCTCCCCGGTAATCACTCGGATTCCGTGAAACGATCGGCTTTGTAGGACACAGATTTTTGGAAGGACTTTTACTCGAAATTGGACGTTACTCGAATCGATTGGGATTAATGTTCTTTTTGCGCAAGGTAATTATTTGGATTGAATGGATTCTTGCTGGGGATTCAGTGTGGCTTGAATCGTTTAGAACTGATGTGTATGATGATTTGTTGAAGAGATTTTTGTTTGGGTAGTTCGTTCGACGATGATAATGATTGCTAGTAAATTGCATTGTTGTAAGGGTAATTTGTTTTTGTTCGAGTATCTTTGTTTCGTTGAATAATTTATTGGAATAATTTATTCGAGGGATACTCTTCTTTATGGAAGTAACGACTAATGAAGGAATGAAGTCTGTTGGCGATACAAGATATACTGCTTTAAGTAACCAATTAGCAGACAATTCGATAAAACGTCCCGAAATCGAGGTTGAGATAATTTATTTGAAACGCGTTCTGCATTTTTCCCAGTGGAATGAAATGTTCGGGCATTATGTTTTATTGGCATAATAAGTGGGATGCATTATCGGTTAACCGATTTGGTGAATTTTCAAGGGAATCGAATCGATTAATGGTTACAGTCTTGCGAGAAATGGAACGCATAAATATACTCTGTAGTGGATTCAAGGTGAGCGAGAAGTTGATTCGAGGGGGAATCGCGGGTTATCGATAAATTTTGAGAACGATCGAGATAAACTCACCGGTCTTTCCGTAGGTGCACTGACAATAAAAGCTGCCAACACGATCGATGCAGGTAGCGCCATTGAAGCAAGCCGCGCCAGCGCAATCGTCGATGTTCACGCTGCAATCCGGACCAGACCAGCCGTTCACGCAGATGCACGAGTAACTTCCGGGAGAATTGGTGCATGTGGCACCGTTGTGGCACAGCGACGGCCGCACCGAGCATTCGTCCACGTCCAGCTCGCACTGCGTGCCTGTGTACGACGGCGGACAGAGGCAAGAGTACTCGTTCACCCTGTCCACGCATGTCGCGCCATTTTGACAGAGATGTCCTGGACAGTCGTCGATATTCTCCTCGCACTGATCGCCACGGAAACCTGGAACAGTTAAAAAACATATCGTCATTTAGAAAAATGTTTAAATTTAAATTTCGATTGTTAAACGATTTTATATTTAATCGCCTGAATTTCAAATCCTAATTTGATTTGTATTATAATAATGTTACCATGATTGCGTTCAAAGTAGTCACTTTGTCGCAACATAATTGTCAAAAATAATTATTTAGTCGATGAATTAAGTAAATTGAATGAATTCTAATTTAATAGTAGCTGATCAATTTATCTGTGTAACAAGATGAACGAGTGGAAGTTTGTCGCAAAACAGAAAATAAAAGTGATTTAAAAACAGTTTAGAAACAGTTTTTAACGATTTGAGCAACGTGTAAACAAATTGTAGACTAAAAATTCTATATACATCCTGAATATTTGAACCATACATTACATCTTAAGGTTTTATGTTTCGACACTTGTACATGAATAGATCAAACAATAAAAAGCATTCTTAAAACACGAAAATATCTGTTCAGGTGTGGTCCCTCCCCCGACAAAATTAACATCGTACCTGAGAAATTAATTTATACTCCGGGATTCGTATTGGAGCATCGTATGCGCTTTAAGAGGCGGGCCGCGCAACATGATTTAGATATGATCTTCTATCAAAGGGGAAGAGAATCGAAAGACAAACGGAGAATCGCGAAAGCAAGGAACATAAGGAGGAGGAGCCGACGATCCCCCTCCATTTCGATGATATTGATGATCGTTACGGTCGTAAAGAGAACTCATTACCCCGCCACAAACCCGTGTACGCTTTGTATGTTCTTCGCTCACAGGAAAAAAAAGGAATTGTTATACCGAGTTGGTCCATGAAAGGCTCCGCCACAAGTAAACAGCAAGTCATGGTTTTTTGAAGAACTAATCTCAATTTGTAGCACTATCTAGTATAAGTGTTTAACACTGAACATATATAATTAACAAAAAATTTTCGATCTCTTAAGTAAAATGGAACTTACACGCCGATTTAAATATTAAGTTCGTTTAGGAACCATTTTGATGACCCAAAATGCGAATGCAGCAATGAAATTTAAAATTCATCATTATAAAACAGTGTAGAAAATTAACAAAGAAAAATTTCTAAGTAATAAATATTTTGAATGTGGATATAATTTTAAAATATTCCTTGTAATTGAGTACGTAATACGAGAATGAAGTTTAATTTTAAACAAATCAAAAACAACATAAGAATATTCAACGCAAAGGAAATGAATGGTTGCAAGAATTAATTGGCAAGAAACTCTTGGGTCTGTAATGTATTAATTACAAAAGAAATTGAGAAAACTGATATTAAAGCGAGTTTGTAGTCCCGAGAGTTTATTGTTCGTCAGATTTATGTTCGGATGGAAAGATCCAGAAGAAAAACGAGTGGCAATAAACCAATAGCGCTCGATAACCGTGAAATTGACAACGTCGGCGTCGATCTACTTCCATCGACCGTGGTAAGCAAATGAACGACTCCCCTTCAGCAATTCGCCGAAACACCGTGTCCTGCGGAACAAAATCCTAACACTTCGGGCGCGGGAATATTCAAAGAAAAATCGCCGACGAGGATGCGAAAAACAGGATACCCTTTAATTAAAACGAAAACCGCCATGGCACTGCGAAACTTGGCAAAAACTGGTGCATAGATAAGAAGCGGGGCTAGGAGACTGGTAAGATCGACGTGGCGTGACGGAGGATTATTTGCAAGTCGAGCGAATAATATGACTGCGGAGCGCGCTCGAGGGTTTAATATCTCCTCGGCGAGGCAAAAACCTTGGATGAAGAAACGAAGAAATTTTGATGAGACAAGACTGTACACTAAATATACTTCGCGCAATATGGATTCGTGCTCGTAAAGAATATTTTTTATGTACGCGCAGGTAATTGCGTGATTAAATGATGGAACCTCTAAAAACGGAGCAAAGTTTCTATGTGTTATTCTTAAAATAGAATATACCCTTTTTGAACTTGAGAATTGATATTTGTGACAGAGACTGCATATGTTAAATTAGATAATAACAATGAATCATTTTGTAATACATAAGTAAATACAGTAAGGAATTTTATTAAGTAAAGGAAGGTTAAAAATTACAATTAAAAAAAAAGTATAAATAAAAACAGTCTAAGCTTAACTCTGGAAAAGCTACATAGAAAGTAGTTTTACTTAAATAATGTAATCTCCAATATCGTTGATTTCGAAACATTACACAATGTAAAATAACCGGAAAAGTATTGTTATATAAACATTCATCGCAATTGGTTCTTTATAAATAACATTATGAAACTAAATTTACACTAACAGCCTGTTAATGTTCTTTGCGACTAAAAATAATTTTCATGTTATTATCGTGTCCTGCGCATTGTTTAGTGTTCGAGCAAAACCGAACACGGAAATCCGGGTAATGTTTCGCGATTTCAACCCTCCCCGTTCACTTTCCTTCCGCCTTTATCTATCGGTATCAGTTGCCGTCCAGCGATGCATACTCGCCCGTGAACCATAGTTACCAACTCTAATGGCGCGCATAATTTATGCTCGATAGAGCGGTTAACTAAACTTCCTATGTATCCCCGGACTCGTTCGCGAGGCACACAGAATACACGTCTCGCTGACATGAGTTAGAATTTCGCGGTGAAAAAGAAAACCCTCTGTTCTATAGTGCGGCTCATAATTATTCGAACGACAGTGAATTTATACTTCTACTCTTTTTTAAAACATAATTGCAAACGTTTTGCGCCATTGTTGGAATAATTTAATTTCTAAGGTTATTTTGTTACAATTACATAGAAATTTTATGGTTCCTACTCATACAACAAATGTTATCATTGATATATTTATAAAGTAACTTAATTATTGTATCGAATCGTTTAATTCATAATAATATTGAAAAATAATGATAAAGATTTTGATCTAAGTGATATTGTTATAATTTGATTCATTGTAATATAACAGTGATAAAATAAAGAATACACAAAATTGATAAATAAATCTGAAATCTTTAAAATTATTATTAAAATTTAAATTTTAATTATAACTGGATTGTGATTATTCATCTTTTATGATACAATTTTACATCTTAATTACTGGATTTATCTTAGTAAACATAAAACACTTTTTAATGTGATAATTAAAAGAGTAGTATATAATTTGCCGCTTTTATATAAGAACTAATGAATAATTATAAAACAAAGTATATTGCACTGTATTTCAATCCATATATAAGTTTCCCATATGATGAAGTTTTATTTTTTCACGGTAGTATACGATCGTTCGAACGTTTAAAGTCGTTCGAATAATTATGGGCAACAGTGTACATATGTACAACGTCGGCCACGACGTTATTATACCGGGCTGTATACAGAGGGACGGTAACATTAATATTAAACTGATGCAAAAGTAAATCAGCCGCTTCTCGTGCGCCATTATCTCGCTGAAGAATAGAACACGGGGGATTTCGGTCTGTTCTAAGAAATAATTTTACAGTCGAACTTTTAACTAAACAGTTCCGGTACAAGGATACGATCGAGGAAATAGAAATTCCAATTTTATCTTGAAAATTAGTTTCCGTTCAATTTAAAGCTTATTTATCAGAAAATTCAGTAAATACTGTTTGTAGTAAATACTTCACTGTTTATGTACATAGCTAACATTTCTTTTTCTGCACGCGATTTATTGAACGAACCAATAGTGAATATCGAGCCTAAGGGAGTTGGACATCGCAAACATTCGTATCAACCGAGTACACGAGTTCTTTACGCCTTCTCGGACGTTACCTTCTTTTTTCTCTGCTCGGCGGGAGAATGTTCCTTTGGAATCGCCACCGAAACCGATTTCGCGAGGCAACAGATGGTAATGCTCCGAGGGGCTTCCAGTCCGAATTTCGGCGGAGATTCGAAACTGGAATTTCAACGAGGTTTTCCGTCTTGAGTTACCGGATTACAGGGGTCTGCCTCTCTTTCTCCCTCTCTACCGCCAGTTTACGTGCTACCGTGTGACTTTTCAGTCATAAAATCCAGATTATAATACTTTCTGGAGTGCGACTTTTACGCCCGGCCTTACACTTTTACGCGTGAGCGTTTTGGCAACGCGCACCGTGTATACTTTGCCTTTCTCTTCAATCTTTTTTTTCGGCTGTCGGCTTTAAATCAATCTTCCGCAAGCTTCTTAAGGCATTCGACTCATTGGCGCGTTCTCATGTGTCGGTGCGAATGTTTGATAAGGAAGTATGAATATAGAGTTCTATAGTTATTTACAGGAAGTACTGTTTGATTAATTGTAAATTTATAGAGAAGTTTTATTTTGTTGACAGTGATTATTGAGTCACCAATAGAAACTATATTAAAATTTAATATATATTTTCAATGATAAAATGTGAATATCGTTTAATCGAATATTAATGTTCACTTCACTAAAATATTACATTAATTACGATATAAAATAATATAACACATCATCTTTACAAGTGTTATTAATAATTTTAATTGACAACATTTATTAACATAACGTTCGTTTCTCCAGCTGAATTCTTAAGTTGTTTTTAAATCATTTCTATCAAACATGTATCTTTTTAGAAACACGCGAAGATTATGTTCTCAAATGAAACACAGTTAAGGATACGTATCTGCAGCGAGACGTACGGTGGCAAATGGTACGCAGAGAACTATAGAGGATCCTTATAAAATGATCGAACAAAAAAAAACGTTGTATAATCAACGTAATATTGACCGTCGCTTCATTTTCTCCCCGCGGGACCTCGCAAGAAAGAAAATTCCTGAAGCGGGACGAAAAACTGCGGCTATTCATGTTCAGCGGCGGCGGTGAGGGAACAAGAAACCGAGGGACGAGAGACCGACGAGCGCCGCTACGGATCCGGGGCGAATCGATTGCCGTTAATATCGATAGAGGACAATAGCGGGACTCCTCCCCTGAAAAATACGCGTATTTGCTGGACCATTCGTCGCGCGTTCGATATTTGCGAGCCTTTTCTTCACCGCCGTTGCCGCTC